CCGTCAGAGAGCCTGATGTATCCTCCTCATTCACCGCGCGCTGCTAATCCATACTCCTCCCCCACCGCCTTCCCTCCCCCGCTACCGTCCTCTCCGAAAGACATTGGGATTAACGCAGTGGCAGCAGCAACGGCAGCAAATAATCGGGTGGAGGGCGATCGTGTCTCAGGCTAAACAAAAAGCTGGCGGCGCCGCCTGAGAAGCAGACCATCTGGCCCGCTATAGTTATGTTTGCCTGAATCCAACAGCTGGCGGGCTTCGTCACTGAGAGAGAGGTGGCTTTGGACACAGGCAACAGCTGCTGCCGTAGCGGCCCTATCCACTCCCACTGAAGGATACATTGAGTGGCTGTGGGCTGAGGGGATGGGACAACATGCAGAAAACAGCCCTAGTTTTGGTCACATACACAGGCGCACACACGCACACAAAGAGAGAACGCTGACCTGTGCGTACTGGAGAAAATCATGTGCATACACTTGAGTTAGATATGACTAGATGACGACGGCTAATAAGCCAGAAATGTTCATTCTAGTCTCCCTTGTCTTTGTCGGTAATTTCCTTCTGCCGATATCCTTAGTCGCCTTGCGGTGTGGCTCGAGTGTGAACTCCAAAGGCATCAGGGTGGGACAAGTGTGTCCAGTAGCTGATCGGCGTACGCCTATGTGCTACTGTATACTCCCGATCAAAAACCGAGGAGACAGCGAGCTTGTGATACAGTGGTTAGAGCGCTAGACTTATAAATAACAAGGTCGTGGGTTCGAAACTCAAGTGGGGCACCAATTTCTGGGGCAACACTTAAGTTAGGCATGACCAGCTGGCAACGGCCAGAAGCCAGTCTCTCTTGTTTTTGTCGTTAGTATCCTTCTACATACAGGGATTAACTGGAGGTAGAAATATGCGTTGGGCTAAAGGCCGACCATCTAGACTCTCATTGAAATTGTCCTAGGGAAGCCTTGCTAATTGCTCCACCTCAACCGATTGTTCAAATAGGAGGAGGAAGAGGATAGGTAAAACACACATGACTAGCAGCGGTCTCTTCTGATGCGCGTAGGTGTGGAGGAGTTAGAGACCACCCGTTTTAAGCCAGCTTTCTACGAACTGATAATCCAAGTACAAACAAGGCTATACTTTTTAGAAGGCGCAAACAAGGTCGATCGAAGAAAGACAATTTAATGGATACTACTGGCTTATTTGCTGTTATAAGCCAGCACTATCTCTGTCACATGTTGTTGCACGTCTGAGGTTTGAATCTAAATCATTTTGTGAGAATAAAAAGGCGTGCAACACTCCTATATGACTGAAGACCTCCAAGCTCGACCGATATGATGCGACCTCGAACTCACCACCGCGTAATCAGCCTCCTCGTATCGACCTCCCCTGTTACTATGGCTCTTTTGGATGTAATGGCGAACATAACTGGCCGTATGTTTTATCTTTGATCCTGTTCCCATATAAGTGTAAGTGGCCGATTAGAATTTATCTAAAGCTTGCATATGTTCTATGATTGCTCTTCTGAACTTACCAGGGTAGCGCTAAAAAGATTGTTTCATAACTAACTAACCGAGCTGCAGAAATCGGGTGTACAGTCTTGCTAAAGACGCCAAACAAGCCAGCGATGGCACTATCATGTCTCTAGGGCTCGAATATATGCCACTTCCGTCAGCAGGACACAGGACCAGGAACTACCCCCTCCACATATGTTTTTGGGCTAACATCTAGGGGAATTGGAATTATAGTTAAGGCTAGTGTTAGGTTTAGGAAACGAAAATATGTTCTGTTTTCGGAATTTTGCACAAGCTAACCTGCATCAAGTGGAAGGGGCTACTATTTCTATGTTCTGCCGGGTGGTGGTGAGGTATATAACCGATCCTGACCTTCCAGTCCTTGTCGATACAACTTTCTCCACTGCTGCCTGCCAGTCGTGATACGACTGCCATCAGTAGCTGCGGACCCTCGGCTCCAAGACGGAACAGAATTATTCATTTTCCGCCTTGCAGTCAGGACTGATTAGTGTGCACCGCTGCTATGGGATTGCGATCAATCGATGCTGAGTGACCATTTGTCAGGCTGCATTTTCACGACAGTTTGAACATTTTTCAGATTATTGGGACTTCTACCGCTGAAGGGCAAACCAAATTCGATAGGGTACTTTGCGTTTCAGTCGACAACTATTAGAGGCACATAATATTTTGACGAATTGAGAAAAGAACCCAATTGTTGTAGTTGATATTGTGTAAAATTTATGCAGCCAAACCAATAAACACAGGTATTATGAATCGTAAAAAGGAGGGAGGATTTGCCAGTATATAAGCGCACTAACACCGTGCCTTAATGTGCAATGGTTATTTGATATAAACCATAGATATAGGAAACTTGACCAGATGAAAATCTTAAGTACAATTCTCTTACTGCGTAAAGTTCATATTTTTGTGGTTATCATACAACATAAAAAATTATGTTTATTATCACTTTTTCACACTTGCAAAATGAAGTTGACCGTTCAGTTTTGAGGAAATCTGAATTTTTAGCCTACATTTCCTCACCAGAGGTAATTGCATAAGACTTTCGAAGACGTGGGTATGAGACTGAAGAAGCACCGTTTTGTTCAAAATTAATTAAAAGACTTGATTATGTATTTTGATTAAGGTCGCAAAATGATAATAACGCTTACACCCTTGCTCATACAGCGTTTATACGTGCATTTTCAATAGAAACATAACCTTAGTGGACCGGTTGACTGGTCGATGACGGCTAAGGAGCTAGAAATGACCATTCCAGCCTCGCTTGATCTTATGGGAATTCGTTTCTGCATTTATTGCTCGTAACTATGTGACTGTCGGAAAAACGAGAAGGGCAGCTCCCATAACCTCGTCGGTGAACACCCCCTTTTTCAATAAGAAACTCGGGTATTATTCTATCTCTTTTGAGAAGTTTTGTGAGCTGTTTCCAATCACAGTCGGACAAAACAATGGTTGAACGACACGTGGTCTACTTAGAAGAACAAAGTCACTTTTAGTTTGGTTGTTCAGTTGCTCAGGTGCAGCCCGTGGAAATCGTGTACATGAAATCTGGCATATAAAATATACGCATGCAAGTACATATGCACTGCCGATTTTATTCAGTACTCCTAAGGTGGGTATATTATCGAAAAGTAATATAAGAAGACGTTTGAATTTCGAAAAATACGTAGCAATTTTTGACTAGCATTACAAAAAAGTAAATTTCGTATTTCAGAAAATAAATTGGTGAACATATCTTTTAAATTTGCGAAAATTCCCATTGAAAATTTCAGAAGATGAATTGGCGAATGCGTTTGTTTTCGATAATTCTCATCAGGCCTGTATATTTATATGGTAAATAAGTAAACAGACTATGCGGGTTGGTAGAAAAAGAAGAACGGTTGTCAGGGCAGGAGGAATGGGGGGGGGCGGAACGGGGTCAAAATTTGATCAGCGTTAGAGGGAACTGGTCAAAAATATGGTAAGCGCTACGTGGGTCTGGTAGCCAAGCCAGGTGTTAAGCTGCGGACCTTTGGATCAGCGACACTTGGTCATGGCAACTGCGACGCCGTTACGAAGTTCTTTTGGGCGCACAGGACCGATCAGCGTAGCCTGAAGGCGGCCGCTTCTACTGTAGCCAAGAGACGTTGTCCAAGGAATTTTGAATAGCTTGAGGGTACCTTGTAGATCACTCGTAAGGCCTCCCTGGTATCCACGCGATGGTCTGAGTCTACCAGGTGCGCTAGAATGGAACTGCTTTTACCCTTTATTTGGCCCTTCCCTAACCATGCTGGAATGTGTTCTCTTGCTATTTTGGAAAAGAGCCGGCAGCTGCGACCAATATATTCTGCCGCACAGGAGCAGATGAATGAATAGATGCAGATATAGGTGGTCCGGGCTGGCAGTTTGTCATTGATCCTTCAGTATAGGATAGGAGTAGTCGAGAATAGTAAATGGGCGTTAGCTGCTGGAAAGGTGGTTGCTATAGCTTGACTCAGGCGCCTCCTTAGAAGTTCGTTTGGTCTTTCCCCTTGAAATGAGACACTGATGAGCATCGGCTTCTTCTCTGCCGTTAACACCGAGGGCCTTAGTGGTCTTTCAGCCGTGTTATTCACGATAAATCGACTGGGATATCCCATTTTGTCGAAAAACGCCTTCAACAATCTCAAACCCCCCTTCGATGATATTATTTGAGCAGATCCTTTTCGCCCTTTGCATCAAATATTGTACTGAATAACGTTTGAGTTTTAATGGTGCGAAACTATCAAAATGGATGTATTGCTCTGACCACGTCTTCTTAGGATATACCCTACGTCGAATATTCCTGTCAGCCCTTTTACTCAATAGTTCGTCGAGTAATAGGAACGATCCAGACTGTTCTTCTTCTGGTGTAGACTTGCTAGACGGGTGCGGTATAAGTCTGACGAAAACAAACGTATGTTCGCCAATTTATCTGCTGCAATTTTCATAGGGAATTCTCGCAAATTTAAAACTTCTTATTCATAAAAAGAAATGCATTTTCCCTTGTTCGTTCAGAATTGTCTCGGTCTGTGTCGGTAACACTTCTCAAAACAGAACATGCATTTTGATTTAGGAGTGATTAAAATAGGTTATAATAAGTCACCTTATGATGCATGCTTGATTACAGTTCATGTTAGCTTAGTACGTTCCAAATAGACACTGAGAAAAGTGTCGTAGACACCAAAAAAGTCAGTCAGAAAATAAGAGAACGCTTATATGTTTACTCCTGTGTCAGCTTTCCGGTTGCGCCTTCTAAATTAAGCACTTTTTGACTCAGGAAGAGAGTACTATTTATTCCATCTGCTAGACTTATTCATTTCCTCCAAAATACCCTCATCAAGTAAGTTTCCATCAGTTGGTGATGAGGACTCACTTTCCAAATTCAAATATTATTTCAGGCGTTGAAACTTCCCTTACCATAAGTAGTGAACTTTCCAAACCTTCAATCGAGTTTGTCACTGTAATGATGTTGTCATTTTACTAGGTTTCTTCTCTAAGAGCCTCCGGGTAGGACAACATAAGTGCGCACGTAATTCTTCTCCCAGCAACAGTGTAGTCAGTGGATTTATTTAACTTCTCAGGAAACCAAAGGAATATAAATATTAGCACTTACGGGCCATGGTTCTGTGAGTTCCACTCGTGTTGTAATGCCCTCCGATGACGATGACTTTGAGAGAGCCTTCTTAGCTGTAATATTGGCTGCGCCATACTGGCATTGCCCATTCCAGGCTGACGAGCCAGCGGATGCTCCGTCTCCTTCATAGTCCTCAAAACAGAGGCGGAATTCCAAATCGCATTGTTCAGCACAACTGTCAGATCGACTGCGAGTACAGCATTCATTGCGCAGGCGAAAATTAAGGTTATTCTCAAAGTAGAAGAGTTTAATTCCAAGAGTGGCGAGCGTTGGACTGGCAACTGCTGCTACAGCCGAGGAGCCCATAAACTCGAACGGGTGGCAGAAGGTGAGAAAAATTATCCAGAGCATGTGAGCGCTTGTTAGGTGAAGAAGAGGAAGAGGAATAATTACGTTTGGTTTTCGGTACTGCTACCTCTGTAGCACACTGATGCCTGGTGCCTCGCTGTCTTTAAGCGTCGCCAAATGCGGCAACCAACTTGCCGGTTGTTGTAGTAGCCCACTGGCCAACGGAAGGAGCGTGAGGGGGGAGGGGTGGGAAGTCTGGGGCGGAGCGGTTGCAGTCTTGAGTGCCTGGGGTGAGGGGGAGGGGGGAAGAGAAATTGCAGTACGCGGACTCGCTACAGGCCTGACCACTTTAAACCAATCAAAACTCGACATCCTCCGCATGCAGACGACCAGGTGTCAGGTCAGCGTGGAGGCACAAAAATGGCATGATAGGCGGGACGTATTCACCTCGGTCCAGCTCTACCTCTTTAAGCCAAAGAAGGGCAGATTTTCTTACAGCATTCCTAAAATGCTAAGAGGAGCATTGCATAAATGCATTTGGTACCGCCATTGCGAGGAGACTGTACAAATAATGTGCCATAGGGCATTAGCAATGATATGTTAGAATAAGTACCGTGCAGACGAAATGCTCTGCGTTTGCAATTTGGATTCGCAGCAGTTGTGAATGCCGATGAAACAAGAAAAAATGTGGACCTACGTCCAAGATGTCGCATGACTTCACAGGACGGCATCCAAGGGGTTTGGCACCAAGTCCTTGCACAACCTTTCGAGGGAAATACTATTAGCCCTCATAGAATGCGACAGAACCGTATGGTCCACGCGAATTTCTTTTACTCCGGTTCTAGCCGTTTAAAGTTTGGAAGTATCCTGACCATTCGCTTGGTAAGAGTGCCTCGGTATTATCAGGGTTAAGCAGGTTGTACGATCATCATTTTTTAACCTTGCGTACTACCTAAAAGATTAGTAAAAAGAGGGATTTGTTTCCCTACTGGCTGGAAATATACAAATATAATAAACTGCACTTTGCACGATCACCTCAAAGACCCATCGATGACATTTTATACTACCTCTGAACACATGAGTAGTTCAGGTGTTCCGTAGCAGGTATTATGATAACTTGTCTGCCAGGGCGTTCCTAAGAGGAAGCTGAGTTAACTTTTTGCGAGGTTTCATAATCGTTCAGAAATCGATCATACCACTTCACAATTAGAAGGAATGAGTATTTGTCAAGATGGGCTCCCCAGGCCCTGTGTGTTATAACATCGCTATACACGAAGAATATTCAAAGGGTGTTATGTCACTATGGAGTCGAAACTTCAATTAAAACCAGGGTTTTATATGCCTTTAACTTCTTTTTCAATGCGGATTATGTAATTCGCATAGCTTAATTTCCCCACTAAAAATATGGCAAAAAATGTTTAAGAATCCGTCAGTTTAAACTCCTCAAACGCCCTTCAAATTAGCAGATCGAGCATTGCTAGGTCACATGCCGACAGGGTTTTATATCATCACAAGGCGTGCAGAGTATCCCAAACGGAGATTTTGCTGAATGTTCGAGCCTGGAAACGAGAAGTAACGTGAAAAGGTTTTTTCTGATGGCGCTGCCTCGGCTGAATTCTACTCGAGAAGACTTTACAACCAGCGTGAAATGGAATGCTTTACGACCATCCACTTCCTCATTTCTGTTAAAGAATTGAACTAACAACATGAGTACAAATTGTGCCCAAATTGCAGACTCTATCTGAGCTGTAAATTCTGGAGTAGGACCTTTTATATTTTTAAGTTGCCCAGTGAAATTATGAGAAAGTGCCAAACACTTTTTATACATGAGTTTGAGTAGCAGCTCGAGAAAAATAAGAAGAAGGAGATAATTTTCGCAACAAACCAGCCGTGATGGCATAAGGTATCGTAGTTTTTCACTAAGCTATCCGTACCCTGTGTCATGAGCTTACATAGCCCAATTAACACAATAAAAGCTGCTTTCTGTTTTGTGGTAAATGTACACTTTAAATTCTAAACAGGACCGTATTTAGAGTTCCTTTTTGCCTTTGAATTATGCCAAAAACCTACTTTTACATTTTCACTAACCGACATCGCCATTTTTTCGTTAAATTCCACGAATATAAGGTCAAATTTCTCTTTTTTGTAAAAGTTCGTCATTATGAGTTTGAATTTCCATAAACTGGCATCAATATACTGAGCAGCAGGAGTTTATATTGATGGGTTTAATTTTCTTTAGTACATTGAAACAAATAGCAGTTTCCTTGACTTTATATTTTTTCGGAAGAGTAGGTGGCGCGCATACATATACTTTCGATAAATTCTCATCGGGCCAATTACATTTATATAGCAACTATAGTAACTATATATTGTAACTATGGGCATAATTACCTGCAATTTATCATGTACCTTTACCCCTTCCTATATAAATGTAATTGGCCCGATGATAATTTATCGAAAGTATCCGTATGCTCGCCATCTATACTTCTGAACTCTCTGATGAGAATTTTCGAAACTTTAATATTTTTTGTTAGGGGAGAGGTTTCCAATTGGGTCAACCGAATTAATAGTTTAAAATCATTTTCAACATAATTACACATTCATTTACACTCACTAACCAAGAATTATATGTTCGACCGCAAAATACGATAGACAGTTAGGCGGGGGAACAGGTATTTAGGTGGCCCTCGAAAACAGTTTTGCCAAATTTTAATTTCACAGTGTCATCAGAATGCTTCCCCCAAAATAGCTCTTGTTTGTGTTTCCTTCCGCGATGAAGCAAAATTGAGGTACGATATTACTTAGCACCTGGTGACGGTTTTACAGCCTACTTTCGTGCTTTGTGAAAAGGACTTCCCCGAATGTGACCGAAAGAACTCCAACCTCTGCTGCAATCCTTGGTCTTAGCTTAACCTTAAATAAAACATGAACCTTATTCGCAATCTCAATCCCAACCCTAGCCTCTTTAGAATTTAGCGAAAAACCAGCTGTATTAAACTGCTTTATTTTCCCATATCTCAGGACGACCCTTGTAGAGGTTCTTTGACATCTAGTTTGTACACTGGAAAACCCAAAGAAGTAAGGACAAAAGAAGTTTAAGTATTGCACCTCATGTACCCCTTGTCCAAGCATTTCGTCCTACGGAAACGGCGGTTATAGGGTTTTGGGGGTTTGGAAATAGGATAACCAGAGGAGGAAATTTCTGGAAGTAATTGCTAAGTGAAGAACTGTAGTCGAATTTATTTTCCGCGGCCTTGAGTTTATAAATCGTTATCCGATGTCGTGTTACTTTTGAAAACACATTCCTTATTCAAGTTCGCAAAAGTAAGATTTCCGGGAAAGGAATCTGAGATTATGTTAGTGCTTACCGGGGCGAGTTTTTGTCTTCGTTGACTTTTCGGAGAGTTGGGCCGGCTCTCGTTTTTCAAACCGTAAATTGCCATTATCGATCAGTGCTTTGAATGTGTGACGCATTGATTTTTTTTTTCGTTCGCAAGACCTTCCCACGGTCTACAAAGTCCCACGTCCTTACGTGAATAAAGGCCAGGACAAGATCTCACCGAAGTTAAGAATCGCAAGCGAAGACGGCTTCGCCACGAACCCACCTGAAGAGGGAGCAGGATTACCAGCACCCTCCACTGTGGGGACAAAACGCAACAATAACAGCTGTCAACCTATGCCAAAGTCCACACGAGGAGCAAGGCCACGAGGGAAAAAAATCGATCAGCCCGCGGCCAAGTACAGCTACACATTCAAATTCCTGATCGATAATGGCAGTTTACGCTTTGATAAACGAGAGCCGGCGTAGCTCTACGAATGGTCAGCAAAGATACAAACTCGTTCAAGTGAACACTAACATGTTCTCACATTCCAGATTGAATATGATCACATGTCCGAGAAGTGGCTGTGGCGAGTGAATTTCCTGAAGGGACACCCTACCCTTTATGTGCGAGCAAAGCGGACGGTGGTTGTTTTTGTTGTCTCCGTGACTATTTGTCTAATCCTTCTGATATGAGTTAGCCAATTACCACACACAGATTGACACAGATGATTTCAGTGTTTACTGCTTCAATCCAGCATATAATACAGTTGGCATGCGGACAACAAAGAAAAAGAGTTTTTTCTCTAGGTAAAGTACTAAATTTAAAGCTAGGCAGGTAACCTTTCTTGAAGAATGGCACAAAGATTTGAATCTATGATAGCTTATAAATAAGTAAAAGTTGCCAATTATCAAGACGTATGGCATTCCGAGTTTTTTATCCAATAATTTTTTAAAATTTGAAATGCATTCAGAGTGGGTAAACTGGCAGCATTAAATTAAAAATAGATGTGCCTTCTTTGCCTCACGTGTATTTTGATTGTACGGATTCCTGCATAGTTACCACGTTACGGTTTTTCAACGCCTCGTATCGCACGAAAAACTGATCCCAAATTTTTGCTATGCGGCCTAGTCTTTGAGGAAAATTAGGTGTCGTTACAAAAGTATATAGAGAGAAATAAATCTCAGCAAACTTCGTGCCTGACCAACTTCTGGCTTATAGTTGAACCCATTTTAAGCCACATCACCAAAGTCGTACGTACGTTTTGCTTCGATTTAACTTCCTTGTAGGAAAGATGCAATATATTTCATTGCTGTGTGCTCATTTTGAGGCCACTGCGTCATCTCACAAATGTGCCCTACAACAAAGCGGGTATTGTGGTCGATTTCTATGGGCTTTGCTTAGGTTTCGCCGCTGCAACACACAGTGATAGTATAGGTATAAGAACACGCGGGGCCCAGCTTGAACCAGTAACCTGGGGGGCTTGAAAGAACGTCTTCTGCGACACAAGGTCGGGTTAGCTAATGCTAAAACCACTGTTAATACATTTCCAAATAGGCTGAGAAAATATGCATTGGGAGTCATCTTTTTAACAAAATTATGTGGAGCATGGGAGTGCATCCGAAGACAAGGGAGACTGGAATTGCTAGTTCTGGTTTCACAGCTGCAATCTTCCAGTCGTACCGAACCCTAGGTTTTGCAATCCATGAGGTTTGAGCCGGCAGCCTGTTGCTTAGAATTTCA